CAACGCTCTGGCCCAGAATTCAAGCTCCATAACTGACCGAAAAAAAAAAAAAAGAAAAAAAAAGAGACCCAGGTTTTAAAATGGTTTCTTCTGGTATGATCAATTAGATATAGTCTAGTGGGATTTTCCATGGAAACATTAATTTTTTTTTTAATGAACAAAACCTCTTCTGTATCAGACTGTTTAGAAAAGTGACCACTACCTCCTAAAATAGTTTTTAAAAGGTTTTCTGGCAGCTTTGGTTGGCTGACGATAAAGCTACTTTCTCTCCATCCTGGAGTGAGAAGAGGTAATTATCATCGTCTATGCGTGCATGTAGTATTTTGGTAAGGATATACACACACAATCACAACTCAAGTGGAAGGAAGGAGGGAGCAATCAAGGGCATGGCAATGGGAGGAGAGGGACTTCTGTGCTCCTGACCTGAAGCTCCATATAAATTCTTCCATACCCTGCTGTTCATGCTTGTTTCTGGTTTTTGTTTTTTATTTATTTTTGGTGCCAGCACTGGGGCTTGAACTCGGGGTTTGCTAGTACTCTATCACCTGAGTCATAGTTTGTTTTTTCTTCTTTTCTTTACTATTATTGTTGGTCATGGGGCATGAACTCTGGGACTGGGCGCTGTCCCTCAGCTCTTCAGCTCAAGGCTAGCACCCTACCACATGAGCCATAGCACCATTTCCAGTTTCTGGGTGGTTTATTGGAGATAAGAGTCTCATGGACTTTCCTGCCCAGGCCGGCTTTGAACTGTGGTCCTCAGATCTCAGCCTCCTTAATAGCTAAGATTATAAGCATGAGCCACTGGTACCTGACTTTTTTTCTTCTTTTAAATACTGCCAGTTCTGGGAGATTAACTTATGGCTTAGGTGTTGTCCTTGAGTTTTTGTTTTTGTTTTTTCCAAGGCTGGCACTCTATTTGAGCTACAGCTCTATTTCTGGCTTTTTTGATACTTAAACCTGATCCTCAGGTTTCAGCCTCCAGACTATTTAGGAGTACAGGCATGAGCCATTGATCCCTGGCAGGAATAAAATTTATATATGCAGACAGTATCACAATGTACAAAAAGAAGGACTCTAGTGAAGTGGAGAATAAAATTATTAGAGAAATTAAAGATATATTAATGACAAAATTTGTTAGAAAAGATTTCAAGAAGTGGTTCTGATCCAGGCCTTAGGGAAAGGCTTTGAACTGTGGAGAGAAGAGGAGTGATGCAGGAGTTCCCTAGGTGAAGAAATAAGAAAGACAGAGTACGGTTATCAGGTCTGGTTGTGAAGAAACAGTATGACTAAGTCAAAGATAGTCATTTTCTGTAGGTTATATATTAGGTTGGAAAGTGCCATAGGGCTGGGTGACAGAGAACCTGAAAACCCATATATAAAAAGCCTTAAAGTAAGAGGAAACAGAAAGATAACAGATTTTGACTATAAGAGTAGAATTTAAGGAGAATTGACTTTAATAGTATGCAGGATGGATTGAAATGAAACTCCTCAAGAAGGTAAGCTAGAAGACTTTGGAAGAATGCAATACAATAAGGGTGGCAGCAAAGAACAGGAAGCCAATGGTTTGGATAAGTCTCTCCCATGTGTTAAAGGCTTGGTCCATATCCCTGGTGCTATGTGGTGGAACCTAGTAGGAAAAAGTACTGTGGAACCCTGGTCTTTTTCTTTCTTTTTTGCTTCCCGGCTATGAGGAGGCTACATTACCACAGGCCACAAAATAAAAGGGGAAATCTCCAAAATTGAGCAAAAACAAACTTTTTTTTTTTATCACAGGTTTGTTACAGTGATGGAATGTTAATACCAGAAAAGGGATACAATAGAAAGAAATTAGAAAAAGAATAAAATCCTTTAAGACTTTGAGAATAATTAGTATTAATAAATACAAAAGAAAAGAGTATCTGGGTATGGTAGCAAAGAGATATAATTGCAGCACTTGGGAGGCTGAGGCTTAAGCCAACTTAGCTATATAGTGAGAATCGTCTGGACTGTTCTGTAGCACTTTCTATTACTACCCATGGACATCTGGCACAAGATCTTCTACCCACTTCAAATAACCTTCTCAACTTGATAACCTTGCCCCAACTTTGCCTCTTTCATAAACTTTCTGATTAATTTCACTCAATACTAATTCTCTTAGTATTCATATTGTTTATATTATACTTTTCTTTATCCAAAAAAGTATCATTTATATTCTGACTTAATTAGGTTTTATTTATGCATATATTTACATTGTAACCACTCGTCTCTAAGACCTCTCTCTGGTTTTCGTGTGTGTGTGTGTGTGTGCGCGCGCGTGTGCGTGCATGCGTGCCTGTGTGTGTGTGTGTGTGGACTGGGGCTTACTTAGCTTTTTTGCTCAAGGCTGATGATCTACCACTTGCATTTCTGGCTTATTGCTGATTATCTGGCGGTAAGGGTTTCATGGACTTTCCTACTTTGGCTTCAAACTGTGATCCTCAGATTTCAGTAGAAGACCCTTGGATCTGAATAATTAGGATTATAGGCATGGACCACCGGTGCCTGATTCCCCCTGGCTTGTTTTTCTTCTTCCCTTCCTTCCCTTTCTTTTTTCCCTCTTTCCCTCCTTCCCTCTTTCCCTCCCTTCTTTCTTTCCTTCCTTTTTTTTTGCCAGTCCTGGGGCTTGAATTCAGGGCCTGGGCACTGTCCCTGAGCTTCTTTTGCTCAAGGCTAGTGCTCTCCCACTGATCCACAGTGCCACTTCCAGCCTTTCCTGTTTATGTGGTACTTAGGAACCTAACCCAGGGCTTCCTGCATGCTAGGCAAGCACTCTACCACTAAACCACATTTCCAGCCATCCCACTGGTTTTCATAAGAGCCACTAAATGGGGCTGAGAATGTGGTTTAGTGGCAGTGTTTGCCTAGCATGCATGGAGTCCTGGGTTCAATATTATTGGTTGTAGGGTTTGAACTCTGGACCTGGGCACTGTCCCTCAGCTCTTCAGCTCAAGGCGAGAGCCCTACCACTTGAGCCACATCACCACTTCCGGTTTTCTGGTAGTTAATTGGAGTTTCATGGACTTTCCTGCCCGGGCTGGCACAGAACCGAGATCCTCCGATCTCAGCCTCCTAAGTAGCTAGGATTACAGGCATGAGCCACTGGTGCCAGCTATAGCTGATTTTGTTGTTGTTGTTGGTCATGGGACCTGAACTCTGGGCCTGAGCACTGTCCCTCAGCTCTTCAGCTCAAGGCTAGCACTCTACCACTTGAGCCACAGTGCCACTTCCGGGTTTTTCTGCTTATGTGGTGCTGAGGAATCGAACTTAGGGCTTCATGCATGCTACACAAGCACTCTACACTAAGCCACCTTCCCAGCCTGATATTTTTAACTAATGTAATAAGCACCAAATAAATTCACTATAGATTACATTTTAAGTTAAGCTTTCTTAGAGTTGGCTAAATCAGAACACCTCCTGGTATAAAAAGAAAAAAGCCACTTTGTTTTGTGTGTCTGTCTAGCTGCAAATGGCACAGCCAAACTGCTGCAGGGCTTGAGAACAGTCATTAAGAATGCTCCCTTGAGAATAACCCACAGAAGCAAGACAATTCTAAAACAACTGGTGAAAGGTTCCAGGTCACCCAAATTGGCTTAGAAAAGTCCCATTGATTAAATGTCTTGTTTGTGTTTTGGAAATGTGCCCTCTGTGGTGTCTGGGTTCACAAGGGAAGTTGAATTTACGAACTGATAATCTGCCTCCTGGAGGAAAACTGATACCCAGCAGAAGAGAAGCAGCCAGGCTAGGTGGACATTTTGTCTTCTTTTGTTCAGCTATTCTCTGTGGGTAGAGAGAAATGTCAAAGGCATCTTTTGTCTGTAAATCTTCCAGAGTCTTAATAAAGAGAAGGCAAGGAAGAAATAGGCTGAAAAAAAGCTGAGAAAAAACCTTAACACACCTATCCTCAAAAGCCACAGAACACAATCTTATTAAAAACGGACAGTGCAGGGCACAAAAGAAACTTGGGAGCTTTTAGTGTTCCTTTTTCCTGATTAAATGCAGCTCACGTAAGGGCTCTTGATGGGAGAAAGGGAGTATAGCTCCCAGTACATCTGGTCCCTAGAATTAATCTTTACTGTCTGGTGATAGCAAGGCGCGTGGCTTTGGGGGCAGCAAATACCTGCAATGATGACTGAGTCAGTTCGGGCTGGGCCAAATTTCAATGTCATCTCATGCTTGTGTTTATGAACTGCCAGGTGGTCCTCGTTTGTAAATCTCTGAAATGAAACAGAAATGGATATGTGAGAAAAGAAAACAACAAAAACAAAAACAAAGCCACCAATGCAGTGTCCTTTGAAAATGTCCTATTAAACAGGCTGCAATGAAGTTGGTCCCTGGAAAGAGAGAAGAGAGTGATGGGAAAAGAGAAGAGATGGAGGGAGAAGGCACTGGAAGGCAGGGAGGAGAGGAAGAAGACCACAGCACAAACTGCTCTGTAGTATCAGGTCCAAACCAGAGAAGTGGACAGATTGTTGAGAAAGTGGGGTCCAGACACAAGGCTCTAAATGAAAAAAAAAAATTAAGGGAAATTCATGGTGAACAAGGGGAAAACAATTTTTAATAATAATAATAAAGAGAGAAGGAAGAAAGTCTGGGCACTCGTTGGTCATCACCAAAATAGGAAATTTCAGAACGAAGCGCTCCATGGTAGGGCTGAATTAGACTATTTTACGAGGGGGCTAACAGGGAGATAAATTATGCAGGATTAGGAGAACCATTTAACTTCCTGGCCCCCACAGTGCTGCAGCAGGCGCCTGCGCAGCTATTTGGCTCAGAGTTTTAATGAGCCAGGACGGAGCTATAGAGGACAGAGGCCCAATGGCCAGCAATAATGCTACATATCAGCCCCATTGGCCAAATGCTGCCTCCCCTCATCGTGCAGCCGCCTGGGCTCCAACAGCCATAAAGGGGCCAACACAATGCTGCTGGCTGTATAATGGAGAAATAAAAATGCAAGCAAAATAATTTTTTTTTAAGAGTAGGAAGGAGCATGCAGGCAGGATGAGGGAAGAGAAACGGACATGATATAGCAATTTTATTTGTTTAGGGATCTGAGTGAATGGACAGTGAAGAGGTAAGACACAGTCTACTGAATCTATGACTAAGACAGACAAGGTTACTGGACGATATTATGCTTCTTTCCCTTTAAAAGGAGGAGGTGAACAGATAAGCAGCAGAATCGTACCCTCAGAAATCCCTTTGATGGGCTGGGAAGGTGGCTCAGTAGTAGAGCACTTGCCTTGCATGCCTGAGGCCCTGGGTTCGATTCCTCAGCACCACATAAGCAAAAAGAAAAAAGCCAGAAGTGG